CGGGGGCAGGTATTATTCTTTCTGATGGTAACATGACTACTTTAGAACAATCACTTAGGTTCTCTTTTTCTGCAAGCAATAACCAATCTGAATATGAGGTTCTCATAGCAGGGCTTAGGTTAGCTTTAGACTTATCAATTGATAACATAGTTGTACACTGTGATTCACTTTTAGTAGTTCAACAAGTAAACGGGATCTTCCAAATTAAGGATGTGCTGTTGGATAAGTACTTACAAATAACTCAAAGACTAATTTCAAAATTTAAACACTTTGACATACAGCACATCCCTAGAGAGGAAAATTTCAGAGCTGATATCTTGTCTAAATTGGCAATTACAAGAATTGCAACCAAGGTTCCTCCTTTATCACAACTCACACTAGAACATCCTAGTGTGGAGCTAACCTCTATTTTGAGTATTGAGAAACAGGATACAGATTGGAGAACTGACTACATTACATACCTCAAAGAAGGCACTGTACCTACAACAAACAAAGACAGCAGACTCTTCAAGAAAAGAGCCAGCATGTTCACTCTTGTTGGAGACGACCTCTACAAGAGGGGTTTCTCAAGACCCTTGCTAAAGTGCCTCGCTCAAGAAGAAGCCAACCTGGCCATGGCAGAAGTACACGAAGGAGTCTGCGGCACCCATGTTGGAGGACGAAGCTTCGTCTCCAAACTACTAAGAGCTGGATACTTCTGGCCAACAATGAAGCAAGACTACATCAGCAAAGTCAAACACTGCGACAAGTGTCAACGACACAGCCCAACCATCCACAGTCCAGCCGAGCTATTACATAGCTCGGAGGTAAGCTGGCCCTTTAGTAAGTGGGGGCTAGATATTCTTGGACCCTTTCCTCAGGCCCCTGGCCAAGTCAAGTTCTTACTTGTTGCTATTGACTATTTTACTAAGTGGATAGAGGCTCAGCCTCTAGCACGTATAACTGCTGAGAAGACAACATCATTTGTCTGGAAATACATCATATGCAGATTTGGACTCCCTCATGAAATTGTCACTGACAATGGGAGACAATTCATTGACTCTAACTTCACTCAATTGTTGAGCAATTTCAGGATCCAACACCATCTCTCTTCTGTAGAGCACCCTCAGATGAATGGACTTACAGAAGCTGCTAACAAAGTCATCCTCCAAGCTCTGAAAAAGAAGCTGGATGATGCAAAAGGACAATGGGCAGAATTGATCCCAGAAACATTATGGGGCTACAACACAACTCCCCACAGCTCCACGAAGGAAACACCATTCAGACTAACATATGGCCAGGATGCCATGCTCCCAGTTGAAGTCTCCCAAGGATCCCTCAGGATACAAACTTACAATGAAGGCAACAAATCAGCAAGCCAAAGAACAGAGCTCGACACTATAGAAGAAGATCGAGACTTAGCAATGATCCACCAGCTAGCAATAAAGAAGCTATCAGCCCGGCAGTACAACAAAAGCGTCCGGCCGAGGTCTTTCGTGAAAAATGATCTCGTCCTACGCAAAACAGAAGACGTCAGAAAGCCTCCAGGACAAGGCAAGCTAGCACCAACCTGGGAAGGACCCTTCAGGATTCATGAAGTGCTCGGCAAAGGAGCATACAAACTAGAGACATTAGATGACACTCTTGTACCTAGTACTTGGAACATAGCATCACTAAAGTTGTACTTCAGTTAGTGGGGCAGGACAAGGGGATGCACTCTTTTTCCTCTTCTTGGGTTTTTTCCTACACTGGGTTTTGCTCAAAGAGATTTTAATGAGGCACTCCACCCGTGCTCTATTCATTTTCATCATTAATAAAGTTGGTAACTTTCCTTAATTTCTGCTTTCTTTACTTCTTTTCCATTTTTATATTTAACCAACCAACGGTTACTCAACCCAGTTAACCACTCACTCAGCTTACAACCTCAATCGAGAATCGATTAACTATTCAACCTATCAACTCAATAACTACAATTGGACACTGCCTCCAGTCAATTAACTAAGTCATCAAACCCATTTGCCTTCTTTATTAGGCTATCAAACACTTGCTAAACACTCACTAAGTAGGCCACAAAGAGGCCAACCCATCTATCCACAACTCTCCCCACATTTCAAAGTGGGCATCACCACGATACATCAATACAAACACAACGATCAAACAATCCAACAATTCAAAGCAGATAAAGGAATTAAATTTTCCTAATAAATTGCAAATAGTCTTAACAAAATAAGAATCCACACAACAGCAATGTCATAAACCAAAGACAACCAAATCATATAACTAAAAATTGTTCAAACACAAAACATAACAATTCAACCTAGAAGAAACTATTACAAACAGCTCAATTACTCATTGGGATTATGGTCATCAATCCCCTCAGCCGGGACTTGGTCATTATCAACAAGTTGGCCCTTGTAGACCACCTTCACAGGATCCATCTTCTCCAAATTAACACCGGGAACAAACAGCTCAATTTGGGCTTTAGCTCTATCCCAGGCAGCAGCAAACATTTCAAACCCATGTGATTTCTTGCTAACCTCAGCTTCCTTCTTCTCCCCAACTAACTCTACCACTCTGTTCTCCAACTCACTCTTATCCTTAGTGAGTTGAGACACTTTGGTTTTCAGCTTGGAATTCTCTTCCATCAGCAACTCATTCTCCTTCTCCTTAAGAGCAACCTGTTCCCTCGTCAGTTTCAAACTCTTCTCCACTTCTATCAAATCCGCTCTCTTCTCTTGTTGAGAACTCTCTTCCCCCATGGCCTAAACCTCCCACTCTCGGCCAAGACACAACAACCGAGCGGCCTCAACCTAACAACACAGACATCAGATTCAATAGACCAAACAACCAAGATAACATTTAATAAATTAAATAATACAACTCACCTGCATGTAACGAGCAGCAACCTTACCCACTTTCTTTAACAGATCCAAATCTGCCTATGATCGAAAGTGCTCATCAGTAACTATAGAAAAAGGAAAGTGCTCACACCACAATGAGTTAAGATCCTCAGTCCCATTGAAACCATGCAACCCCTCTTAACTCCTTGTGAAATCAGCAACCTCCTTCAAAGAGATCTCCCTACCACAACACTTCACATCAGTCAGATCTATCACTTTCTTACCAGAACCCTCCTCAGACCTTAACCTCTTCAGACTAACTAGCCTCTTTCTCTCAGTAGGCTTCTTCACACATAACAAGCCACATACTACTATATCAATCTACACCTTACCAAAATAACCTACAACGGACTCTTTATCACTATCCCACTTCAACACTTCCGAACTATTCAACACTTTCCCACCCTTCAAATTCAAGAACAGAAACTCCACCAAATCAGCATTTCTATCTGATAACTCCTCCACTCCAAGACACTGAGCTGGCCTCTTATT